TCACCAGTTGTACCTGTTCTCCGTGGAGTTTCACCGTCGCCGCGGCGATCTCATCTGCATCAGACGTATCCTTCTTGGTGAACCCGGAAACGAGCTACTGCAATTCTTCCATTTCAATACCAACTGCTCGACACGAGGTCACAAAGGTCACGAGGTCACGAGGACTCCACCCTCGCCCAGACCTCACCCTGTCCACCCGGGTACTAAATGAGTGGAACAGTTTACCTAAGGAAATTGTTGATGCATGGTGTAATTTTGCATAGTAACTTTTTTGCTGCATGGTAGCCGGATCGTGACTTTCCGGAATGATACCCATCCGTTACTGGTAGCTGAGCTGGCATGCATCTGTTGCATATTTTCTTTTATGTATTGCGGCACAGTAGCAGAGGTGTTTTCCATCTCCAGCTAATAATAAATGATAAAGATAATGTGTCAGCTGTACACCGTAATGGCACTTCGCTGCCGCTCGACCACCACCAGTCGCGCGCGGACTGAGTATATCGCGAGGACGCCCACCCCTACGCGGATTCGAACCGCTGACCCTATGATTGCAAACCAAACGTGCAGACCACTCGGCCACCGGCTAACGTGTATAATGATGATGATAATTATGGTGGACAGATGGTTTTGCTTGTTAAAAACAGCCATAAACATTGGGTTACTCCCTTCTCTATGACAGCGTCAAACGTTCAGGCTGTTTCTTACTTTTTGAGGGTAGACCGTAGATTGGAAACTGTCGTATGTACTGCAGCCCTTTCATCACGAGAGTGGAGGACAAGGAGCTCAGCAGCATCTTAAGGCAGGCGGCAATTGCTGCGCCGAGTATTATTTTACTTGGTGATGTACATCTTCCACATGCAGACTGGGAGCACTTCGTCAACAACAGCAGTGTATCAGTCATTTGAACTGATGCTTCGCTACCATACAACCACCATGACCTAAGGAATACAGAATAATAGGAGGGAGATCAGGGGGACTTACCTGAAAACCTTAATGTCCCAAGCAGGCATTCAGGGTCAAGGCGCCTACACCTTGTGTTAACAACATACCGTCACAAACAACTGGCTAGCGTGCAAATATAAGGCTTCATCAGTGAGACAGCTTCCTTGCGGCTTTCACTGCTACGCGTCATAATCAGCCATTACCCCGCAGAAACTCAGCACCAAACACACTTTAAACAGGCAATCCGATTAGGAGACGGCAGCAGACGCGCCACTGTTGTCTACTGCGAGCCATATCCTGTAAAGTCTCGAGCCAAGCACAAGGCGAGTCACGTGGACTCCAGCCCCGAAGGCGAGACGGACCAATGACACCCAGTTTGGTCGTCAGTGACTTCATTTCACGCTGCCAAGTCAACTTTTGTCCACCTCGAGCTTTACGTTACCCTTCGGATTGACTAAACAAGGCTCTTCTCGGTAAGCGGTGACCAGGTATACGTAGTACGTGTCCAAACTAACATATCTTACACAGTGCTACCTGTAGTTTTAAGGAACTTGCTTGAGTATCACTTCCCAGTATTCGCCCACGCACATCGTCGTTGTGGACACGCTGGTGCTACTGGACACCAGCAATGCTTCGCAGACAAAGCTGATCAAATACTTGAAGGTGCCTTAGATCTTCAGATCTTACGGTGGGACGGCCCTTACTGTGGCCTTGTATACACGGCCTTTCAAACTGTGGGGAATCCCTTTCTGTCGCCAAAGATACCGCAGCTACAAGAAGGCAGTTCTGGCTTCTGAACTGCCTAAACTGATCTCAGTAGCTATGCACTCATCGTTGCTGTTACAGCCGCCATAGTCAGAGAATTGGTCAACTACCTCGAGTTCCTCGCTATCTAAGGTCCAGGAATCATCAAGTGGCGGGTGGTCGTGCAGCAAGACCTCGCACTTTGAAGGTGCGGAGCCCTTATCAAATTATAGAACCACTCTACACAGGTTATTCAGGGTTGATTGCGCCGCGCCAGCATTGTTAGATAGCAAGACGATATCGTCCGCATAATCAAGGTCAACTAGTCTTTCCCAGGCAGCACCTCAACGCCTGCATCGTGAGATCCTGAATGTATTGCGGCACAATAGCTGAGGTGTTTCCCACCTCTATCTAACGATATTCCGTAAAGGAACACTTCATGCTGCAGTCCACGACGTAATTGAGCAGAAATGAGGAAGTTGGACAACCCTGACGAACTCCGCTTGTTGTCGGAACGCCGACATGGCCTGATCAGTTTCTGCACTTTGCTAGTTTCACACTGTTATGTGTTGATGAAAGCTTTGTTCACCCCTGTCAGGCGTAGTTACTCGAACAATTGTCTGGCTGAGAAGGTAGAGGACGTTAACAGAAATTGAGCAGAAATGAGGAAGTTGAACAACCCTGACGAACTCCGCTTGTTGTCGGAAAGCCGACATGACCTGATCAGTTTCTGCACTTTGCTAGTTTCACACTGTTATGTGTTGGTGAAAGCTTTGTTCACCCATGTCAGGCGTAGTTACTCGAACAGAACGCTCATGGAGAACGACTACTCTGGACGCTTCATCAAGAAACAGCCAGGTCAGACCGCCGAAGTAAACGGTTTTGATAGCACCTAGGAAAAAAGTATACCTCGAATTCTCATTTAAGCGTAACGCCACCATTAATAGGATAACCAAACGCAAAATCTCTGCCATTCGGAGAACCTACTGCGCCGCAGATTGTAGTGGTCAATGTAAAACGGAACTTGTCGCTTCCTACAGTAAAAGAAGAGGAACCCGTCGGCTCCAAATCACACTGCGTTAACCGAATTGTGTGTAATTTCGGAGTCATTTACATAGACGGAACCTGTCCAACTGGGTTCAAGCTGAGGTCAACCAACCCTCGTCCAATATTTCTCGCACATGTAAGTCACCGGAGTCATCCATAGGCAAGCATATTTTCGTGGCCCGTCAGCTTATTACTCGCGGCTCGGCGTTTCAGATTTATTGCGTCACCCTAATTCATGCTTCTTACGGCTCGCTGAGACCGTGGCGATAAGCCAGCTAAGACCTGTTTTGTGTATGCAAAACAGTTGTTTATCTTCCGTTGCCCTGTTTCTAGGTTCATCGCCCTCGATTATCTCACCACATGTGATTGGTTTGGTAGCACCCTTTTAACGTTATCTGAATTTTTTGTTCTTTTGTTGGTACCAAGGAGATAGTACGAAATGTGCTCATTTGTCAATCTTCATCTCAGTGTGATTTCAACCTGCTGACGGCAACTGTGTTAACTTATTAGGGCTACTCTGGTGGCTGCGTGTACCGCCGACGCGTATATAAACCAATGGTTAATGGCAGATTTGCTGTGGCTCTTACTCGTAGCTAATTGCCCGGCGTGTTGCTCGTCTTGGCGGAAAGTAACGCGGTTCTCATAAATTAAATCAGTTAAGTCAATCCGGCTCCGAACATATGCGATCCGATGGCTGGGCCACATATTGCGCATACCAGCACACCGACTTCCGCGACGAGCGTTGTTTGCGTTACCTGGGTGTTGATGGAAAATGAGAAGGAGAAGCCAAGTGATGACTTTCTCGAGAGGAATGAAGGCGCTTAGTTCGAAGTTGGACTCCGTTGGAGCCTTTCGGCTCTCTGGTTGGGGTCCGAAAGACAATGAGCACGTTTGGTCGGATATACTTGTTGATATGGCTAGGCGCTGATCTTAATGGTGTTTGTGTTGTTTCTTCGTCCCTACCTATCCCGCTTAGCCTCCTCTCCAACCACGATCTTATTTCAGCCAGTATAACTTTTTGCGGCATAACAGCCGACTACTAGCTCCCTGGGACCATGCCCATCCGTTAGTGGTGACTCAGCTGGCGTGCCACTGTTCCTTTTTTTTCTCTCTCATGTATTGCGGCACAATGGCTGAATGAATGGGCTTATGCGACTCGGTTTTCACTGCTAATGGAATGACGCGATGAATCTTGCGTATCCGCTGATCTCCATGGTTTTATGTTGGATCTATGTCTATTTGATAGACTGTTGAGATTACATATTACATCACATTCTTTTCAACTGAGTTCATTTATGCACCCAGTTTTGCCTTCAACTGTCTATGAAGGCAAAGACATGAGAAGTACGCCGGTACGCAGTACCGACGGTTCGCTGCCGCGCAACCACCACCGGTCGCACGTGGACTAAGGATACTGCGGTCGCCCCGCCTCTACACAGGCTCGAACCCGGGCCGTCAGATTACAAGACAAGCTCGTTATCTTTAGGCTATGGGCCGGTCATGTCTGTGAAAGCTCCCTAACATGGCTGAGGGTGATAGACAGTAGTTTGGGTGCGCTGACAGCCGAGAACCTACAGTAGATAATTGCTGATCAAGGTTTTGCATCGTGAACCGCCGTCAGTAGTCGTAGTGTTTGGACAGCCTTGTGCAGCGTCACAATATTCTGCGAAAGCGTGTGTTTTCATCGTACATCCGTCGCGAATGACTTTTCTTCCAGCCAGCAAGTGGTACAATCCACCATGGTTAGTGTGTAGTCCATAGCTTTCGACGGCGATAGGGATCCTGCGACGTCAAGTTATACGTAGACGACTCGGTTTGACACTAACGGAAAGCGTCTTGTTAGAGCAACGCTGTGTCGGTAAACTAGTTATTAGCAAGTCAAGCATTTGCGTGCCCACGGTGATGCCAACCTGCATGTTGGGCGCAACGTACCTATTAGCAAGCAATTTGGTCTACAAACCAGGGTGCACGATATCGTTCAGCGTGTTCCATACTGCTCGACTACTGAATTAGTCACGAATGCCTTGAATGATAGTTAGCACTGCCTTTTGACCGATCTGACTTGAAGTACGGACGTTAAAGCACCTAATGTGGAATGGAAGAATTATGGGTTAAATGCATAGCTGATATCCTATTTGAATTTTTCAGCGTAGTCTCGCACAACCAAATTTACAATGCACCACTAAGTCTTTAGGGATATTTCAATGGTTCCCTTGACTAAACCCCATGTTTCTAGATTCAATAACATCTACTTTTTTGTGGTTTAATGCAGCTTTTCTGCACAATCCAAATGGCCCATCCTATGGTGGACGTACTTCTGAGTGACTCCATGCCAAGGGAACTGTTTTGGAAGCAACACACCGATTTCCTCTTGGGCTACGAAAAGCAGGATCTTTGCACACTAGATTATCTGAAATTGTCCGGCATGTTTTGGACACTTACGGCTTTGGATTTACTTGGGGAATTGAATCTCATCGACAAGGATTCCGTCGTCGAGTTTGTTCTCTCTTGTCAAAATTCAGATGGTGGCTTATCACCCGCACCTTCTCACGATTCCCATTTGCTGTCCACTTTAAGTGGTCTACAAGTTATGGCGTTGCTGGACTGTATCCACCGTCTAAACACTGACGCCATAGTCCGATATATACTTAACCTACAGGTACGTTATTTGATCTCTCGTGTACGCATCCGAGTATCTTCGTGTACGGTTCGCTTTGTCTACACTTCTGTTCAACTGGCGAGTGTCGATTTGTCTGGACGCATTTTGTAACCTCAGCTAGCTTGTTACTCATTATTCATGATGCGCCTTCATAAATTCAATTAATTGTTCGTGCAATTTCCAACTATCCGCGTTTCATGGACATTTGTACCTCCTTTTTCATCTTCCTATCTTTTTCCTATCTTATTTGGCTTGATGGTACGAATCTGATTATTCGTTTTTTTGAAGGTCGCATAATGGCGTTGATAAGCACCATTTGTCTTTTTTGTTTTATAGTATTGCCTGGGAGCTGAATCACGTGTCATGGGCTAGCGAGAACTCACCGATTGTTACGTCGCTGACCTATCTTACTTGGGTTTATACATTCTGCAAATCTGCGGGGTGAAATGTTATGCTACTGATTACCTTGTCTTTTGGTCTTACATCTTTCGTTATCGCCCTCTGAGGGAGAATTCATGTAATTATCTTGATGGCTAGTGCCAATCAGAAGCTTAGATGTGCATATCATGAAGTTTAATTTCTTGCTCTTGGTTTGTCCTCCGTCGTTCGCGTTACTGGTCCCTCAGTGGCTATCTGCAATCCACCTCCGAATTCATCAGTATGGAATAGACGCGATTGCTAATACAATGGACAGACGGACTGATCTTCATTTGCAATGTCCATATTCCGCCTTATGCTTTGATTTCCAGACTGCACCCAATCCCACATGCAGTTGTCAGTGATTTCTTGGCGACGAAGCATCAGCACAGGTATCGATGTGTTATTTCTTTTACAGCGTGCAGACCAAGGCCAGGTAATACTGTTGGGAAACTTATTGATTGATCACAAGTGATGAGACAGGCACGTGAAACCCGCAACTGGCACAGAACGAGCAAGAGCGACGGTCGCATCACAAAGCTGTCGGTTACAGCACATTGAGCTTGTCGAAGAACGAGTTAAGAGGTATACGTGAGAACTGTTTCATTTCGATTCGGCCCTAACCGACTTCTTTACTCATCATTTCATAGACTTGATTGGGCCTTTGGCTTCCTCACATTTTTCTTGGTTTTTGTACGCTTTGACGTTTTGTCGCTGCTACAGCTTTCTATGGGAGGGAACATACTAATACTACTACTCACACCACTACTACTACTACTACTACTACTACTACTACTACTACTACTATATCTTTCTCCTGATACGAGAAAGTATCTGTTGCGGCACAGATCAATTTGTACATAAGTATCCGTGCTATTGCATGAATGATATGCGTAAGTGGAATCTGGGGGTATGCGTTTCATGTAGTTACGTTCTAGTGGACACTTGAGGCAAATGCCTAGTTTTGGAAACAATAGTATTTATGTGTTTTTGGGCCCCTCCTGAAATAGCTCATCGAGGGATTTTCCATGTGAATCTGTTGGTTATGGCATTTACATCAAGGTAACTGGAGAGTCTGCCTCTAAACGTTTTCACCTTGTTACATGGCCTGAGTGTTATTGGTACTTTATTCCAAACAGCTATATCTGACCAGGAATAAACTAGCGCGAATGTTCGTTCTAGCCTTTTGTATATTCATTGTAAAATCTTCATTTCAAAGCCCTCCAACTGAGCTGTTGTACTTCGAGTGTAGGCCGGTCGGAATAGGTCTTTTTGTGTAGCAGGTTGAGAAGCGGCAACTTGTGCTTCAATCGTTGAATCTAAACTGGCTCGAGTTGAAGTTCACTGCAACGATCTCGATAACTTATAGCAGGGTGCTTACCAATCAGATGACCTTTTCAGGTGCTCCGCAGCAATTTTGTCACTCTCATATTACCGTATATTATGCTGCAGTACTCGAAGATGGGGCGAATGAGTAGCTTGAAAAGCTCAACTCTGGCATGGGTTGTGTGGATTTTTTTTGCTATATAGAGCATACTTTGTCTGGCACGGTCTACTTGGTATTGAGCCTGTTCGGAGAAATTGAATATAAACGAGGACCTAGTTCCAACATCACGCGTGGACAGCTGTGTAGGGACGCATTCATAGTTTCGGGCGATAGATCCTTCGGGAATAGAGCAGCCGTAAGACATTATGCTTGATTTCTTAGCCTAGTGGTTCATCACCCATGACTCAAGGGAATGTCAGTCATCTTGAGTGAACAGTAGCGTTCCGTGAAGCTCGTCACTCCGAACCTTATAGACGATCTCGATATCGTCAGCAAATAAAAATAGCTGTCTATGTTTGAAAGGTGTGGTGATGTCATTGATGTAGAGCAGAAACAGTGAAGGACCGAGCACGCTCCCTTGAATGACCCCACCGGTGATGGGGCGTGGAGAAGAGCCATAGTCCCCTATGGTGACGTCCTAGTGACGCCCACTCAGGTACGGTGATGGCCACTAGTAATGGGTCCTGGATCCCCAAATCTTCCAACTTTTATAACACTCGCTTGTGGGGTACTCGGTCGAATGGTTTGTGTGTCCAGAAACAGACTTACCACTGCAAAGCCGGAATCGATCGATTCCGCAATGTACTTCGGGTATTGCACTTGGCAGGTGGTGCACGATCGGTTGCGAAGAAAACCATGCTGCGAATTATTTATCAGGCCCAAAGAATCGACAAACTTCATCAAATCATTTCTGACCCGTTTTTCAAATAATCGAACGATTATCGGGGTGTGATGGATTGGTCGGTATTTGTCAATCGTTTGTTTGGAACCTTTATGCCGAGGCATAGTAACTGACATTTTCCATTGTTCTGTAAGTGGCTAGATTCCAGCAATAGGGTAAAGATGCTCATCAGGAGCAGTGGTGCTTCGTGAAATACCATCAGATCCCAGCTTGGAGGATGGCCTGATTGACCTAATAACTTGGTGGATACCGTTACGCGAGATATCGACCCTGCTTAAAAGGTTTGTTATTCTAAGTTCTGTGCGCACAGGCACAGAGTCAGCTTCGAGACTCACGGTAGTGGCAAAAAGTCACCGAATGCTTCACAGATTTTAGCAGGGTCATAGAGTAAGCAGCTTTCGCCGCTACCAATTTCAGTAATCAGAAGAGAGCGGTAATTGGTTCTACGATGGAGTATTTTAACAAGCTCCCTAGCTTTGCACCTTGTTGGTAGGGCTATATGTTCTTTTTTCGTCGTGTTAACTGTGCATTTTGACTATGGTGGTAAATTCGTGCATTTGTAAGATAATTGAAAAGTCATGGGTCTTTCTGTATTTTGCAACTACTTTTCTGGTTTTCTGGCTGTTTGAGTGTTCCACCGCATCTTTGGAGACATGAGGGATGTGAACCTAACGTGGAACATAGAGAACTATGGTGTGATGGGTTTGTTTTTAAAACTGCTCCACAGCGGTGTACACACTGGTTGAGTGGAGAAATGCATCCCAGGTGGAGGAAGAGCCCTGTCAATTTCACAGCTCAAAGCAGACCGCCAGAGGACAAGGAAAGTGACCGTATAGGACTGGAAATTTATACAAACTCACTGGTCAGTCATCATGACCCAAACACAAAACGAGCAACGTTTATCGGTGAATGTCAGACACACACATACAAGACTGTAGTCTGTGGTCAACGGGTGGCCTGGTAAGGGCTTAGCATGCGTCCACATTAGTACACTGCCATGGACGGCGATATCAGTGAGTGGAACAAACATTACGGTGGAGACAAACAAATGTGTACGTGAACGTGTAAACCACCAGATAAGGGTTGGAACTCATGGGGATCTGAACAGTTGGCAAGGCAAGCACATGGTAATAGGAAAAGTGGTGGACCACTGGACGAAGGTGAGGGTGTGTGTAACAAACCGGCTGGTGGAAAGTGACATCCAGTGAACATACATCCTGGTTATGTGAGGGCATGGGCTAGGGTGTACGAGCAGCCATCGCAACAACGATGAAAGGTCATTTGTAAGGACCAAAAAAGTAGCACCTTTTAGAGGAATTTTTCAATCACTACTAAATCCCTCTACATCCATACTCTTCTAACTGCCTCAACCAGCGACACCATTGTTCCCAATCCATGCGATTTCATTACACTAACGATGCACCTAGAACGGGACTATTTGCTTCGACCATCTGGCGTCTGTACGCTCCTTGCCATCTTTGGGAATCGTATTAATAGTGGACCGCGTTTACAATGCCTCTGTTCGTTCATTCTTGCTGTATGGGAGCGCGTCCTGGCCAATTCGCTTGGAGGACATGCGTCGTCTTCCCGCCTTCTACAACTGTTGTTTGTGGAGGATCGCTCCTGTGTGGTGGCAACATCGAGTTTGCAGTGATGACGTTCGACACAACGTCTCGGTAAATGTGAGTATTCGCTTCAACCAGCTGGTTTTGCTGCGCCAGTTGAGATGGCTCGCTCACGTCTTACGCATGGCGCTTGGGTGTTTGCCGCGCCGCGCTCTATTTGCTCGTGCAGGATCGGGCTGGAGGCGACCGCGTGGTGGTCAACCTTTCATCTGGCTACAGCACACGAAATCGATGACTTCATGCCTGGCCGCTGTTGGACCCGTACATCTTCAAGGATGGGGACCCAAGGATGAGTGCCAAAGGCTTAACACAGTTAAAGACATGGCCTGCAACCGGAATCATTGGAAGATTTGTATAGAGGATTGTATTGATCCACATGCCTAATGCATCGAACATTGGAAACGACAAAAAAGCAATGGTTCTGCATGTGAGTCAAATTGTACTTTCGTTTGATTCCCATGTTTTTGATGGCTCCATGTCCATTTTAGCAAGGCTGTCCGCTAAATGGCGTCAATATACGTATTCTCAGTTGTTGTGATGTTAGCCGAGCTTCGCAACTTGATTGCAGATGTTTCATCCCCCTTCGAGGTGCCGTCATCAGTGCAGGAGTGATTCCAGTTTCGCAGCAGGAGCTGGTGGAAAACAAACCCATGTATGGTTATCGTCAGTCGCTACTCCGTTCCCTGTGTAGCGGCCATTAGGTCCGCCTTCTGATTGGTCATTCATTGTG